TGGATACGGCCGCGGTCACTGATTTTTTCGATCGATACCCGAGATTATGCACTCGATTTGTCATAGATCCGCGACGCACACAATACACACTCTCATCGCACACACACTCGTTGCTTTTGTTTTTTTCGCCCATGCAGTGCGCGTAGCGTAAGGCCCAATTCAACGGAACAAAACTCAACAGGACACAATTAAGAGAATTACTTTTTTCGCCGGCTCATGCGCGATTCAACTATTCAACTGGACACTGCACAAAATTTTACACACTTGAAACAATAAACAAACACCAAAGACGAAAACTATGAACGAGATGCATCAGGAGTAGTAGCTGATCGGGACCATTTGGACTAGCGGTAAGCTTGGGCTGCTGCATGTCCATGGCCATATATAGCGAAATTTCCTTTTTATATCGCTCGTTGCGGGCGGTTATTTTTCTCCTAGGCTAATGCTCGAATGGGTACGTTCGATCGACTCACTTTTTGAAAAATTTGAAACACTCGCGAACGCGTCCAACAACTAATTACATAAAGACGGAAGGTAAACAAAATAACACATGACAACACGTAAGCGGACGAGGTACGGACGCGAATTTCAATGGGCAAACTTGGAAGATCGGAAATTTAGGCAGGCAAGTCGGAACGTTAGACGAGCGGCACGACGAACGTACGCGGCGACTCCGGACTGCCACACACCAGCTTGCAGAGCATATAGTGGTGGTGGTGGCGCGATGGTAGTGGTTGCAAACGTCGCTGCTGTGCCTGCCGTACGATATACACGTACGCGTGGATCGAGAGATCCTCGGCTGCGGACTACGGCGGCGCGGCCCTTACGATTATTATTATTGGCAATGTGTACAGCTTGAGCTGCCTTGTGTGCTGAAAGTATGGTGTGCTCCTGCTCTAGTCTCTCTCTCTCTCTCTCTCTCTCTCTTGCCTTCTGGTGAGCCCCTATATGCCAGAGGTGCGCGCGCATCAGCCAACCGTTCGCACGTTTCCTCGAGGTTCCGCCGCTTGGCAATTGGCGGCGGTCTGTTCGGGCCCGCGCACCTCCTTCCTACTTCGAATTACGAACTTGTGCGCGTATTGTTCGTTTCCCGAGCTCTCTTCCCTTGCGTGCGTTACGAGCTCGCGCGCGCGCGCCTGTGCATTATATATATCGCACCCCTGAGCAGAATCAGCCGAGGGATGCTTTGCAATGCGCCGCTACTTTCCGGACCGAGAGAGGCCCGTAGCCATCGCGTGGCCGCATTGTCCGACGGCCTGTGCGCACACGCGAGTCGCGCACTTTTTTCTAGCCCGTCGGCCCTGTCCAGTCGCACTTTTTTTCGAGAGAGCCGCACGATGCTTCGCTCGCGCCCGGTCAGTGGCTTGAGATCGCTACCTTTGCAGCTCCCTTCTACACTTTTACCACTGCCGCCTCAACCCTGAGCAAACTTGATTTTTCTTTCTTTTTCAACGTTTTTGGCCCCCTTACAAACTTACCATTTTGTCTATCTTACATAATTCATGTGAGCCGTTGAGCCCTTTCATTTCCTATACAACATCAAATTATTGCGTACGTGAGTCTATGCATTAAAAAATTTAAAAAAAACGTCTCCAAGCCGATAAATGATTTTTCACATGGACAAGGATCCCACCGAAAATCCTGAAAATTCATCGTCCGAATGAAACAACGAAAATCAAGAACAAAAATTACTTTTGATCAATGAGTATTTATGTCGCCATCTGACGAAAATGTTTCCAACAAGTTAAATGGTCTTGGATCAAGGCCGGAGCGTAGTCAAGGTACATGGCTAGCCAACGTTTGTTCGATATCCTCGTTCGAGCTTCAAGCGAGTTCCAATTCAGTCGAGTGCATTAACTGGTGAGATGGCGGACCTTCTGTACTCGCCTAATGGCAAATTAAATGCATTAAATCGAAAAATAATTCAAGTGAAGAAAAAAATCCAATTGTCCGGTAAGTCTAAAACTCAGTCGCATACTTAAATAAATAGTCCGGCTTCGGGCTCGCTTGCTCGGACTCGGAAAAATCGTCGAAATTTGCTTAAAGTTTTTGCGGCTCGAGAGCGAGAACAGGCAGCATGAGCGATCACGAAGAGACATCATTAGGTGGCGAGCGGTACATCTATACGCGATAAATTGCACACTTTACCCCGAGAGCCGAGAGAAAAAAAAGTCCCGAGCAAATATTTGTCGATGCAAACCACGCGCGCGCTCGACTTTCTACTCAGACTTCGTTAAAAGTGCATGCGCTAGTTGTACAAATGATGCATTCAACGCTCGTCGCTGATCAGCATCTCCCACCCACTCGTTCGTATTTTCGCGAACATAAACTCGTGCGTTTCTTCGAATTTTGGCCGATCCGAGCGCGTACTGAAACGCGCCAAAAAGTCCCAATTACTCGCCGACGTGCCTCGTAGGCTGTAAGATATGTATATGTGCACAAAATCGACGAGTGGCCATATTAGGTTATATATGTATATCGCGCGCATATTGCGTTGATACGTTTCTCCATCGATAAGCGCAAAAAGTCGTGAAAGCGTGCGATGCTTGATCGAGAAGGTGATAAAAAAAGCTCCTACACACTCTCTATAGGCTCTGGAAGGCAGCGACGCACGTGAACGTATCCGCTAATTGGCCACATTAATTTGAAAAAACCGCGTCGCAGCCGAGACGATTGCAAAAAATTGACCAAAAGTTGAGTCCAGTGTGCGCGTGCACGGCTAGCGGATTGCGAGGGAGGCCAAACGCGTTTAATCGTTCGCGGCATATTTTGCGAGTCACTGACACGCGCCTGTGCCTGTGTGGCCGACGACTGCAAGGATCGCATCGAGGTGTTTTGCTTGACACGTCGGCACTCGGCAGGCTGTCGCCCTCGACAACGGTACGTCGCTAATGCACCTGCAGCCTCGACACTTTTTGCGACTTACTTGAATCTACATCTTCAAATGATTTCTGTACTCACTTATCGGGCGCTGATTATCATTCTATTAAATTTTCGTATAATATACATTAGTTGGGGCCCAATGTGTTCATTCAACATACAATGCAATTCATTTTTTCAAATTTCTTATCACGTCATTTGAGACCTAATGGTAGCATGAATGATTACTAGTTTATCGGTATGGATCGATGTGTTGAAAAGTAATGGTAATAACTAGTACACATCACATTGAATAATTCTGAAAGTTTCAAATATTATAATTCAATCAAATTTATTCGGCAGTATTAGTTTCAAATTCAAATCTTTAATTATTAGCTTAACAACTTAATTGATTAAATTTTTAGAGGGCCAGCGAAAAGCTAATTTTGAGGAGTGCGATGCAAAAAAACGAGAAAGCACCGAAACCATTTCCAAACTAAAAAGAGAAGTCAAGGAACTGCAAACTGAATTCGCCAAGACTAAAAATGTTGGTAAAATTATCGTAAAGATAATTTTTTATGACTAATCACTACTCATTTATCATTTATTTTTGTCTTTACTTTTACTTCAAAAATATTTTCAGCAAAATGGTAATGTTTTTTAACCACCACAGTAAATTAAATTGATCTATGAATTATATAAAAAAATCCAATGGAAACTCTCATTCAAAATCTACTCGATCGATCTACTTTATATTTACACACTATTTAAGTGCATAATATAAGAGGCAATGAAATAGATACATGCTTTTTAACGATAAATAAGATGATTTTTTACCTTTAGTTTTTTTATTTCCAAATAATGCCAAAAACTCAAAAATCATTTTTACCAAAATATCTTGACGTTATTACCTCATATTTTATGCATTTCAAAAAAAAATTTGAAGACGATCAGTCGAGTCGATTTTCAGTTACAGTGGCTACCACAATCGATCTTTTTTTTACAGTTGGGTCAGAGAATTTTCTGTAGTTAGCTTAGTTTCAGTTGGTATAAGCTGAAAATTTATTTAAATATGTTTCCAATAACAATTCATCATATATACAATATACAGATGAATTTATTTTACAACGAGCTCAAAAAAAGTTATTTACCACATTAAAAGTTATATAGGTACTACATTAAAAGAATTATTTAAAATTGTTCAATTATTTTCTAAAAGCAATGTTATTCAAGTAGGAGTAGGAGTGATTATTCGATAAATCTTTGAAAAGAGACACTATTAATTCATTTTTTTTTTCATTTAATTTTTTTCCCGATTATTAATTCTAAGGGCGCTTTGATTCTTACTGAAACATTCTTTTACTTTTTTTTTTAGAATTTTCTGAGTTATCATGCACGCCGTTGCTTTTCCCCGTTCTGTGTTCCAAAATTGCATATTGATGAAAGTTTTGATCTTCAAAAAAAATATGATTACATTTTTTAAATTATTTAAATTTAAAAAATCAATTATTGTTTGTTTAAAAAAAGGTGTAGATTAATATTACAATATCAATTATGATAGGAAATTACCTGAAATTGTTTTAGAATGAAGAAATATTCGAAAAAGCAGCTGGTCTTAATCGCGGATGTGCTGCTTTTGTGGGGAAACGCAGTTTGAACGATGCTTTGACTGATCTTGATGAGCACAATATTCGTCTGCGCAAGAAACTCGACCTGGCCAAGTACCAGTCTGACAAGGCAAATTAGCTATTACTTTTCATTCAACTTATATGCAACGTTTATTTAAATGTGTAGATTTCCAAGATACATGAAACAATCATCGAATAATAATTATTTTCCAGCGTCAAAAGCAACTGCAACAGTTACTCCGAGAATACGAGGAGTTGATGGATATCAAGCCCACACAAATCGAGGCCTCTAAAACATCGAGCAGACTGATCAAGAAAGTACCAAAGCTATTTTAAATTGTTACTTTAAAGTAGCATTAAAATGAATATTTAATATAAACTATATCCACTTGTAAACTAAATGGAAATCATGAATGAAAATTGTGTTAATTATGTATTTTCCTTTTGCATGAATTTTCGAAAAAATAATTTATTACAGAGTTCGTCATGATTTATGCCATAGATTATCGTGAAACTGGAAAATCAGCTGCACCGGGTCAGTGTTATGCAAATGGAAGCTGATACGGTGCGAAAAAAGTACCAAGCAGTTAAAGCAAGTTTCAAATCGGACGCATGCCTTTACTCTTGTTGCCTCGATGAACTCGAAAAGAGCATACGAGAACAAGACAATGAAATTGAACGTCTTCAGGTATTATCGTATTAATAATAAAATAGCTTTCATAAAAGGATTTTTAAAAGAAAAAACATTTTCAGAAAGTTAAAATGGAAGCCATCGAGTTAAGAGAAACAACTAAGGAAACTCTGACAAAGCAAGAATTAGAAGCTTTTCAGAAGAGCAAAGAACGAGAAAGTATAATACAAGAATACAGGTAATCAACGTCGTTGGTCGGTGTACAAAATAAAAATAGGTCAATTTTGTTATTAGAACGCGAGTTGAAGATCGTAAGATTGAGCTCGAACATCTAGAACGACTGATATTCCCCGCAGCACAGCGGCAAATTGTTCGGGGCGATGATTTGGATACAGGAAGAAAATCTCCTGCACTGGGTTCAGCAAGGGGTACTGGAACAGCTCCACCTCAAAGCGAGATCGACCGTCTCGAAGAGATATTCGTAAAGTTGCGCAATGCTACTGGAGTTTCTCAGACTTCACAGGTGCTGGACCGTTTCCTAGCTCAGCGAGCTACCCGAGAAAAGTTAAAACGAATGCAGACCTCTACCGAGGCGGAAAAGGTTCAGTTGGAAAAACACAGGCAGCAACTCACCGCTGAAATTGAGATGTTAAAGTTCGCCGAAACCAAAGATGCGGATCAGTTAGTTTACATGATGATTCAATTACCCAGTTTAAAGAACCGTAAGAAGGTAATCTTTTTCGTCATTTTTTTCAGAAATGCAGATAAATTGGAAAATTTGAATAAAAAAATAGAAAATCAGAAAAAACGGGAAAAAAACGCGATGGATAAGCAAAACGAATATCAATACCTACTTGAAGGAGTTCGAACAAAATTAATACTGCTGTGTGATAAACTGCAAGTTGGTTGAAAAGATACGATTTGAGATTTAAACATTATGTTGAATTAATTTTATATGAATTTCAGCATGAAAATGAAATTGAAAAAAGAAATGAATTACCCAAAACTCCTATGGAAGCGCTCGATCTGTTGAACAATAAAATTAATAAATTCATAGAGAAACTGGGAGGATCAGAAAAGTATAACGAACTAGTTGACCAATTATTAAATGATAATAAAGTATATTCTCTAATTATTATGTTTCCAATCATTAAATTACATCGGCTTAAATAAAAAAAATTGTCTTTTTATTAAATTTAGGCAGAAGCGATGTCTTTGGAAACCACATCAGAACTTACGAAACATACAAGTAATGAGGAGCAACCGTTATTTACACTATTTTCATCAGTCAGTACTCCTGCTGCTCATCAGGTGCAGATCTCCGAGGATGAGGAAGATGTACCGTCAAGAGGGCTTCTTAAACGACAAGCACAGCTTTTGGTCGATGCCAAAAGCCGACGAAAAAATTTTGCTTTTAAACGATAAATCAATCATTTTTTTTCAATTATCATAGTAAGCAACGTAATCTTGTGATTAGTATGCATCTTAACTTGAACAGGGAAACAATCAAGTATTAACTTTTGACTTTGTAATGCTGTGGAAAAATATTTAATAATTTTGATATTACAAGTGCGTTGAACAGAAAAGTTGCAAGAATTGTATAATATAAGTAGATGTAATTTTTTTAAATTCAGGTAGGTATATTGTAAATTATTGTAAACTCGATCTTGGTGTTCTTTTCTGTTTTACCTTTAAAAGTTGATTGTTAGTTGTATAATTCATTTGGAAAGAAACATGGAAATATTTAAACCAAATGATATTATCCCTTAAATTTTGACAGTTCCAGTACAATCATTTTCCATCGAATGTGTATCGAAAAAATTATTTTCTACGAAAACAACAAAAGTCATGCCTTCTGTAAATTACAGAAAATAAAATATTTTGGTTTGAACAAAATTGTTTGTTTGTTTTTGTGTATTCAAATAATCGGTCCAATTATTGAATTGTTGCATCAATTCTAACGATGACTTTTCAAAGGTATCACAAGCATTATCGAAATAAAAAAAGCCTACTTATTTCCAGTTCAGTTATTTATGACGAGGGTTGTTTATCGGGCAAAGTGGCTGCGATAGCAAGATTTTTCAATTCGTTATGATCACATAGGTCAATTATCTTTGTAGCAACATTATTAGGAAGTTCACAAATTGGTTTGACTAAGTCCACTAAAGCTTGTCGAGCTTCGCATATGACAATAAGTTTCTTTTTAGAGCAGTTATAAGCTCTTTTCAAAAATGGCCCAAAAATTGGGAAGTGGAAGTAAATCTTGGATGGATGCTCGACCAAGCCCCTGATTAATATTTTCGGAAAACGAGGAAGGCATTCAAAGTTGTCCTCTGGATAGAGTATAACCTGTCTTGTTATTCCAAAATGACTCAGTCGTGCGAGTTCTGTTTGACAGGCCTGCTCTGGGTTCATCAATTGTGGATGATTCGTGAGGAAATTTTTTACAATATTTCTCCACGCCCGTCCTTGTTCCCTCGGCCAACGATATCCATAAGGTCGATCCAAAATTTCATCTTGTTTGAGTCGGCGTAGTATCAAACGAACGACCTTGTTATTATCATTAAACTGTTCCCAGTTAACTGGTATACGCAAATCGTAAAAAGTAAACAGCACGCGGAAAAACTCGTAGCTATTGGCCATATTTCTAAAATCGTTCATAACTACTTGAAAGACGGTTTTTCCTTTGGCTCCGTCGGTGCATGCTTGTCGCAATCGAAGGTCTACGCCTGCTTCGATCAATTTAAAGGCCATACGAGCACACAATTCGTCCTGCAAAGAGTTCTCGCGCCTGAAAAGTGCCAATACGTATAGCGTCGTTTCGTAAGGCTCTTTCAGTGTTGCAGTTGACAATGCTCCCAACTTCAGCAACCATTCGGCTGTACTAAATTTTCCAAACGTTAATGCCAAATGTAATGGAGTATAATTTGGAAATATTGGTGACTCGGGGTGAATTTTCTTGTTCAGTTGGTCCTTGTCTGCCCTAGTCAGTGCTTTTTTGTCGATTTTTCTGCCTCTTGCGCACATGATATGAAATTTACTAATACCCCATGAAACGAATTTAAACGAATGCGTTTTTATCTGGATATTCTCCAAGAGTATATCTTCAATTTGCATCATAAGTGGCCGACGAACAGTTTGACTATATTTGTAAACTCTTGTAAGCTCCAAAACCGAAAAATCGAAAGGAATAAATATGTTAGCACCTTTATCTAATAACAACTTGACGATATTTTTACAGCCATTCACAACGAAGAAATGTAATGCCGGAATTTTCGGAACTCGATGAAATTGAAGACCCAGATAGTCTACTTCGTATTCTTTGATCCGATTGCGAATATAAGGCAATAAGAACGCGTCAGCATTTTTAATGTGATATGGAATCAGATCACCGTCGTGTGTATACATTGTGATTAATTTTTTCAAGCAATCTTCACAAGTTTTAGCAAACACGTTAAACGACTCGTAACACAAACTTTCCTTCAATTCTGCTGCCATTTCTAATGTGAAAATGCAAAGTTAACACGAATGTCAAATTGAAAATTTGTTTAACTCGTCGAATAAAATTTGGGATACTGTTCGAGGAATTATTTTGTAAACATAAACTTTCACATTCTGTAAGTCACGCGCTGAACAATACGTTAGATTCGTACTTTCTAATGTTTATAACAAAGTAATTTTAAAAAAAATTTTTCACGAATGTCATTACTTTTTTAATGCAAACACCATAACAAACTGATTGATTACTGGTAAAACGAAAATACTGAGACATTACCATTCGAAAACTAGTACTAATACTCGTTGTAATTTCGTAAATTTAAAACTGGCTTTACGCTGTTACCTATCAGCGTTGAGCAACTAACACGGACTAGAATAAAACTAAATATGTTTCGAAATTTGTATCGCTAGCCTCGATTAAACACATTTAAATTACTCCATGGATCTGATCTTAATTGCTTAAAATATATTTTAACAACTGTCAATAAAAACAAAAACTGCGATATCAAAATTAGAGTAAAATTAGCTTTTATTTTGAAGATATGCCCTGCTTTTAAAGATACGACTATTAATTTTGAAAAAAAGATGGAAATTTTATTTGAAATCAGTTTTAAAAATCAAATCAATTCATTTTCAAAGAGATCGGAGTCTTTATTTAAATTGTTTTAAAAATTAATAGCTGTCATAGTGAGAAGAAAGTTGTAAAATTATGCAACCAATTTTTTTATGCTTAATTTTTAAGTGATCAAAGTGGTAGTAAAATCAACTTACAATTGTGTATTTTACTGCAGCGTTGTTGAGTCATAAGAGGGCTATATATTAGCATTCATTACCGTAATACTAATTTAAATGTATCCTTTACTGGAATGTTCAGGAGAAGTTTCAAAAATCCTGATCCAGTTTTTCGGCTAGCTTTGCTATCTCCTTAATGATTTTGTTTTTATCACTTCTTTAAGAGAAAAATTGTCGTATATAACAAATGTATCTAAGGTATATTTTCTCTCATGTTAGGGTGTGCTAAAGAAAACCTGAACTTAAAATTTTAAAAAATACGAATGAATTAGAGTTATAAATAATTAAATTGCTTATAACTAATGAACGAACCCTAATCGAGTGCACGTATCCGAAAAAACGCACCTAAAAATATTGGAATTTGTAATATTGAATTTACCAAAAACTTTTGCAAGTTGATTACAGAACACTCCAGATTTTTAAAAATTTTCGAGGAAAATTGAGAATTCGAATATTTTTAAAACTTGTGAAGAATACCATATTTTCGATCTAATTTTCTCAGAAAAATGTTATCTTATTTTTTAATCAACTTCAAGAATTTTTTTTTAAATTTTCCACAAAACCTTAATTTTCAAGGTGAAATTTAATTAAAGTGAAGTTTGATAATTTTCTGATGAATATTAGGTAAATGCACTTTTTTTAAAGAAAGTAAAAAAGACAAAATCAATATATTTTTCATTCATCTTGTTTAATCAATTCCAACACGATGACTTACAAATTATACATCCCGACATATTTCATATTTATCACATACATTCGTTCAATTCAAATGCCTTACAATGGTTGCATATTTATGAAACTTAATTGTATCTGGCTACATGATTCATTTATTAACGTTACATACTTAAAAAAATATGTACATGCGATACTGGCAGTAAATATTACTCAACTAAATTTTAATTTATATCTGCATTAATGGATATCCATTTTTTAGATTGAATAGTGTGAGATGTACCCTTGCCAATAATTTTTTAGCAAATTTCAAATTAGCAATACCAAAGACACTTAATAATATTCCATAAAGACTATAATTCAAAACAGTATAATTCTATAAAAATGTCAATTTTTTGGATTTACGACATAATTTCATACCTAAAGGCTTTGGATTTTTTTTAATACAAACAATTAGTCTCGAAATCTATAAAATCTATTCTATCATAAACATTTTAAAAATTATCCAATACCAAGGAATTTCCAATAAATCTTTACAGAATACTTTACTAGATTCTCTAAATCCTGAAGTGTAAAAATACTTTTATATTAGCATACATAGAGAACTGAGTTAAAGTATACTTTAATTCTGTGTAAGTTTTTGTGGAATACATAGAATTGACGTATCATCGAACATAGTTATTTTCGACAGTAATTTTTTTTTCATTTCAATTTTCAAACGCAGGATTTGAAATATTTTAGGTTTTTCAAGAATTTTCTTATCGAATCAGATTATTAACTTTGGTCAATGTATATAAAATAGACAAAATTATAAAATTGCTGTACAAAAATTGGCAAAGGCCAAACATTTTCTTATTTTTTCAATTAAAATTTAGTTTTTATTTAATAGATAAAACGCGCCAAGCTTAAGTTATATAAATAAGATTACCTAAAATAATTATAAATACTCAAATGAAAAGGAATAAACCATGAAATTCTTAATTGGTGCATGAACACTTTGATAGGGCATTACGCATTTGAGTTTGGCAGTGTTCAGAACATTAGAAATTTAGTTTCCTATTTCAATATTTTTACTAGATCTAACCACATTAGATACGTAGCTTTAAGATCACCTTAATGAAGTATTTTTACGGCAGTGATTGAAGTCTCGAGAAAGATTAAATGTATGACGTAAAATCTTTATAGAATGAAGCAATCCTTATGAAATATTAATGAAAAACTTAAAATTAAATGATAACTTATAATTATAGTAGTTTATCTAAAATACGTACAATAGAATGTCACGTTATCTGAATCTTCGATGTCATCCCACGTTATGAGGATTAACTATTACGAAAAATAGTGTATATATTACGATAAACAAATATCTCATTAAATTTTCAGTCCGTTTTACGTCGGCAAAACTTTTTAGTGTGCTTAAATGTACAGTAAAAGTCATTGGCATTACTTGATTATTTTGAAAAATGTATAAAAGTTCAAGTTTTATATTAAATAATTATTTAATTTGTTATTCACAAGCTATAGAATTCGAGTACTAGGAACAATTTTTGTTGATGATTATTGTTTTCAAAAATGTTACTGTAAATTGTTTACATGTGCATGGATTTGTTGATTTGAAGTTTAAACTGGCTTATTGTTAAGTCACTTTCATATTTAAAATAGTTTTGGATATTTTCTCTCTGCTTACAGTCTTAGAGCATTTTGAGTACCTTTGCAAAGATATTTTGTACCTTTATGTCAATGCATTTTTTTTTTTTAGAAATTTTTAATGATGGCTGAGGACGGTATTACTCATTAAAATTATTTATTTTAAAACCAATCATTTTTACTATCGATAAAGTTTTATTTTAATTTTAGAATTGTTCATCGACCAGCGGTGAATGAGAATGAGTAACAGTACATTTGAAATCTTGAAGCATATATTGTTTAATTTGCAAAATAAAAACATTATTTTAGCGTATTTATACCCTCAAAAAAGTTATCGAATTGTCAAAAACATTCGTTTTAAAAAGTTAAAGACAATATAGAAGGCGATAATTTATGGTACAAAGGGGAGTAATATACAAAAAAAATGGTTACTTAGTCATTGCTAAGGTACCAAAATGCTTTACTTCATATGCCAACAGTTTCAAATCAAAAATTTGTAATAAAATAGAATGATAAAAAACGAAAATTATAAGCACAAAGACAAAAAATTTTGAACCGCATTTACAAAAACAATTTCATTGCCATACGAAAAAATGCGTGTGTTCGCAGATTGCTCAACATTTTGTAGGGTATAATAAAAAGTATCATCATTCATGTTGATACCATTCACGTGCTAGATCCTTCCCATTCGATGAGATATTGTGTTTGACCGTACGGGCCACTTCGCTTGGCGCGTACTTTGAATTTTTCACCTGACGCAATTCGATTCGCTGCGCCAAAGTACATATTCACCGATGATTTGAGATCAACCATAGAAATTCCAGGAGCACTTTGTTTGACTGGAGAACATTGAGCAGATGACGGAGCTGAAGAAGCAGCCGACTGCGGCAGCGCTGATGAATCATTCGTAGATTCTTGAGGTGATACCACTAGTTTATCAGTGCTCGGAAGTCTTTGGCGTAACCGACGACCATTGAGAGCATAATCTACGTAATTACCGATTTGTTGTTGGCCCAACGCAGAGCTGGATGAAGAAGCAAATGAACTACGAAGATTACGAACGTATTCAGGATTTTTAACTTCATTGTTGCGTGCTGGTAATATAGCTGCTGTTTTACTCGCCGTCTGAGAATACTTCTAAAAATCCATAAAACCGCGTTAGTTTTGATTTTTAATGTCTTTTATGAAAAATAAATGTGCTTTACCGCATTAAGAGTTTGCTGCTGTGGGGGTCTTCCTCTTCTAGTCTGTCGTCGTCTTTTGACTTGCCCGTTTCTATCGATTATTATGTCTTTTTCGCTCAATTGCCTTTTGGCAGGCCTTACAATTGGCGGCTGAGATATGACAGGAGTGAGTGGCAGCGGCAGAGTAATCGGTGTATATGGAAGCGGCTGCTGAGGTATTTGTGGCTGAGGAACGCCAAGTAATTCGCTAAGGTTTAGAAACGGATTATTTTTTCCTTCGAAGTCCTTGGGTGGTGGGATAAATAAATCGAGAGTTCCACGTGAACTTGTCGTTTCATCACCAGACGTGTCTGCCAAAGTAGTCGACGGTTGCTGCAAATCGACGGAGCTCGGGACTGACAGCTCCGATGATACTGATGATATAGTGGCTGGCGGTGTAGGAGGAGATGAAACCGATGTCGGTGGCGTCGGCGGAAGATCTGCTACCTCAGGACTGCGCAGCTTACTCTGCAAAATTAATTAATACAAACAATGGCATTTGGATACGTATATCCCAAAAATTCTTTTCTTTTCAATTGATAACATTATAGTTATAACGTAACAGACTTGATTCATTTTAAATCCAAATTTTCCTCGTTTTACATGATAGTTGCGTGCAACAATAGTATCGCAAAAAAACCGCATATTACATACATTATTTTTATGAAGATCAGGGAATCGCGAGCAAGAAAAATTACGGAAATGATTAAAACCTCTTATGGTGCGTTTAATCCCCATTTAGTATTTAATTGTGCTTGCCTCCGGAAAAAGTCCAAGCTCTTGCATACTTTCACGGATCTTCTCCTCATTCCTACGAATTGTGTATATAGTCGATTTACTCAAATTAAATTGATTTGAAATATGATTAACCCGTTCACCGTTTCGTAGCGAATCTAATATTTTAATTTTATCTGAAAGATCCAGGAATTTTCTTATTTTTTTAGGTGGTTTTCGATCCGGAGAATCATTTTTTCTTTTAGGAGCCATTAGAAATAACAAAAACTATAAATGACTACTGGTTGGGAAGAAAATAGAAGAATTCTCTCGCTCGAGACCCAGAGTAACAACTGACCGATTGTTTTTAATTGACACTTACAGTAGTGTACATAATCGAATAATAAAATCATAACACTGGGCAAGCGACGGAATAAGGCTCTTTGCAATGTTTACAATATTTAGTTTAGAACAATTCAAAATGGTACAAGATTTAGTTTAAAAAATATAAAACTGATCGGTCAAAAAAAAAACCGGATATAATTGAGGTGTATAATCGTGTAAATTGAGGGATGGCGTCATTTGTCAAACCGTGTATAATCGAAATCACGCCAAGAAAAAACGTGTAAAACGAGAGATGCTTGAACAACTATCTATAAATTTATCATCTAAATGATTGACATGAAAAACTACTCTAAACGATTGCATTTGTAGACAAATAATATTTATTAAATGTTTACTAGTGAGAAATTAAAAAAAATATTAAAGAGCATGACTCACTTTTGCAATGGCATTCTTGAGCAATTTTCTGGCTTTGCGATACCTTGCTTCTCGCATACCCGATCCTTCATCATCGTTTGTGACATCGTTAGCAATAACCGCACCGCTGCTAGTGGTAATAATTGTTGTATCAGTCGTGAGCTTATCACGCTTTTTCTTTTGCTTATGAAGAAGTCTTTCTCGAGTACTGTTGAGTCTCATAAGGCGACGTCGTTGTTTTTGTACGCACAACTTGGGGAACGGAACGGATTTCTTAACGAAGCCACCGCCGCTATATCTGCAAGCATTTGCCTCGGTACTTTTATCTTCCTTCGTTTCTTCTTCTCGTATTGCTACTACGTTATCTTCAACTACCTTTTTCTGTTCACTACTACAATAATGCGTCATGCAGAAAATATATAATTTTTTAAAAGAGGTTAAATCATTTTGTGCAATTGTTTTGATAGTAATGTGATCGTAGTGTGATATTGTTGTTATGGGAGTAATTGTTTTGTACACAATAAAATGAAATAGTAATCAAACAAAGCATCAACTCAATAACAAATGAATATGAAAATCATCATGCAACCCATGCCACACTCACCTATCTCTTAGAGCCTGATTTGATAATTTCAAAGGAGAATCTGATGCATAACTTTGTTTGGGATCAGTTTTCAGAGGGATTTCTTCATTAGTAGTATTAAATGACGTGTCCGTTGACGTGTTTAAGCTAGATTCAAAGTTTGGCGATAATTCCGATTGCGACTCGTCGTATTGTAATTCATATCTGAAATAAGAGTTGATTACTCAAACATATTTACTCATTGCTTTCAAATGGACAATATGGTCACTTTAAAAATATGTATGTACCCATCACTTATGAATTGCAACCTGTTATTTTTGCCCCAGCATTCTCGTAATATGTCATCGTCAATAATACCGGTTTCTGGGAGGTTGATAATTGGACAAGGTGGAGGTAATCTTAATCGAAGACCCCAAATAGTCGTGCGCTTTTTAATTTCTCTACCGCACTTAAACCTATTTCTATGATTCAATAATATAGATAGTATGGAATCTCTTCGTACTTGTGGTGTTTCGTTACGTATCTGTTTAAAAAAAATGTATGAACAATTGTATTTAAAATGTGTTGAAAAAATGTGATAATAAAGTATAACATACACTTGCTGGTAACTGAAGTTCTTCCCAATTTTCATTTATGTACGGTACAATAACTTCATCCAAATCGTAATATTTTTTTGCATTATATACAGTCAAGTTATACAAAACCAAATGCACAAGATCAACCCACTTAATTTCTAATCTTCGTATGTACTCCTTGCCAAAATTGCACATTGAACAAATGAAAACATAAAATCTGTAAAAATTATTTTGTTAGAATGTTCATAGTAGAAATTCATCAGACCTATATTTAATTCAAAATGTAAAATATTAAATAAATATCATTACCTATCTCCACTATAAAGAGGGTAGGATAAACAGCCAATACATTTTTCATGAAACCATTGCTTGCATCGCTGGCATTGCAACATTTTAGTGTACCATTCACCATTTAACCCACAGTAACAATATATCTGTTCTGCATTCACTCTGTGATGTGAATCCCAAGTCAGCATTAGAGGCTAGATTTAAATTAGAAACTAATTAAATCAAATATTTATAATAAAAGTTTTAAATTGTAGAAAGAATTGAACTAACATCATATGGTAACTTATTAATGTTATCTGGAGGAGGAAGAGGTTGGTCTCTACCACTACAAACTTTTCGAATATGTGGTTTTACCATAGACTTTCTGGTATCTTTAGATTGACAATCATCACATTTTCTACATTTCCAATGAGAATCAGGATATGTTTCTTCTATTTGAATTTGTGGCTAATAAATTTCAATTGATATCAAATCAGTATTTATATTAAGTATGACTTAAATTGTATAAAAATGAAAATTTTATTACCTGATGACAAAATTGATGATAACCTCGCCCACATTTGTCACAAGAAATAATGCTATCTTCCTTGTTTGTTTCTGATTTTTTACAGAGAACACATGTTATAACAGGTTCTGATGTTAATTTTGTGAGTTCCTTAAAAGAAGACCAAGCAGATGTGTTATCAAGGAATTTGACAAGACAACTCTCTCTGTCCACGTCCACCTATTGAGTAAAAAAATGCATCTTTTAAAATCTTATTTACCATCACTTTTTGTAAGATGTTTATGAAAAGTTATTATAAAATGTTCATTCAGTAACTCTGTAACTCATTATTTGATACTTATATGTATATAAAATAGGTTAGATATAAATATAAGTACCTCCACAACTGTTCCAAGATAGAATTTTCCATCTTTTTGACCAAGAAGAACATCTTCTCCGTGAATAAAACTCAATCGCTCCCTGGTTGTACTGTCTGGTGAAGCTGAGCTATCTTCAGATTCTGCCATTTCAAGATTTTTCTGCAGTGATAAAAAACAACACATAATTTTTGTATAACAATAATAATAATATTTATCAAGCATAGTTTCTAATATTTGCATTCACAATATTTCATAGTCCAAACTGTGTTTTTAGAGTATAGTAGAGTTGGCTAAGGTAAATATTTTAGATTAAATACTCAGAAATTGCATGAAATGTTTCTTTGAAATGAAGTAATTTTAAAAAATTGCATTGAATTATCAAGTTTTATAATTTCACAATATCACAGTCTGCATATAAGAATGAATGTGTATAATTCATTCATTCTTTCCCTGTTAAAAGTTTACCATGGTCAACTATATAGTGGTTTAATTTAGATATTTTAGAATGTCATTTAAATAGCTAATAAATTGACTTTTTTAATTATACAAATTTAAGTTTTTACTAATTATTTTTTTTCATCGGTGAAAAACTTGGCATTTGAAATATAGGTAGCATATATTTTATAACACATCACAGTAAAATTTTTTTTCAAATTTTAACCCTGATAGCATTTAATTGAACTTGAAATACTTTTATCAAAAAAGTGGTATGTTTACATCAGAGTAAATGTTTGCAAAACTATATCATCATGAAACTGTTGCTAACAGCTCACTCAACATTTGCTATTAAAAAAAAGGTTTCTTCAAGTGTACAAACACAATGTGTGTATGGCAAAGAATGGAAAATAATGCAGGTCAATAGCTCACATTCATAAAGAGCGAGTAGCGTTGGAGAATTGGATAAGGCTACGATAAACATTCGTTGAGTGCACTTATTAACCTTGGGATAAAGAATGGAGTCAGCAGCAGGTGCCATTCAAAGCCGTAGAGAAATCCAGACGAAGGGCTGCTCAACACTATTAATGTTGAAAAACGACGCTGAATCGCGCATCAATTGGTTCGACTGTGACGAAGAGGACTCGATTCATTGAGTTGCTCATATTATTTAGGCATACATAACGAAACGATAAGACGAAACGTAGTTATACTATTGTCAAATGCTGAAGCACACACAAGCACGCACACTGATTACCGCAGCAGGAGCAACGGAAGAAAAAGTCTCGTTGTTAACAGCAGGAGAATATAAATGTTGCTGCGTTGGCTAGATACCTATGGACGAGCGCGACTATGCTACTGCAGCTGGCCGAGATGGCATTGACGGCTGAGAACGTCAGTAGCAGGAGCAGCAGAGCAGCACTACACTCTACAGAGATTCATGACAGCGTTGCGCGTGAGCCGGCCGCCCCGGGTAGTCGAGGTCGATGAGCTCGGAGCTCGGCCGCAGCGAGTTCACGTAGAATAGCTACGCGGAGTTGCGACTGTAGGTGTAGGATTAGCAGCCCTCAACCGCAGGTCGGCCGCCAGCCCCGTCCGCCATCTTCGGAGGCATCTAAAACCTGTGTGTATATTCGAGGCGCTTTGGCCGCCGCTGTTGTCGCCACTGCTATTTTACCAGCACGTAAGCAGGCACACATACACGACGTAGGTATACAGCGCGCGTGTATCGCTGCACGATACATATAGCTATTAAAATATCGAGGCAGGCCGAGTGCGGACTGCGGAGCGAGGCTGCACGCTCGTGCGCGATATACAAGACGGAGCTGCGCCTGGGCTGCTGCTGCGTAAAGCTCGTTCCGCAACGCTTAGCTGCTGCTGCTGCTGCTGCTGCTGCCTGGCAGTCTTGGCAGCTTAGATACATATACAACGGCAGAGCGTGAGTAGAGAGCACATGCAAGCGCGGATGCCTACTGCCTGCACCACTACCAGTTACCACTGGCGCTCGCACATCGGCCATTCAGCGAGTCTCTTTACACGCGTTGTCAGATGGAACGGAATACGTGCGAGGCGTCCGCCAAGTAAGCATGTGTGCGTGTCTCGCATTCGTTCGAGCGCGGACTTGGGCAGCCCGGAGCAACAGTGCCATACGAGAGTCAGCGTCAGCCGGCTAGTGCCGAGGCAAGGTTCGAGCTGCAGCTCGAGCGACGCAAAGATGGCCGTTAAAAAAGCGAGCGATGCAGCGAGCCTACGCGGGCTATGGCCGCCCCGATATAAGTCATTAGTCGGGCGGCTGCCTTGCTGCCTTCCTTGCTGCCTCGCCGTGCTGCGGGCTCCCGTCCCCGCGCAGGCCGCCGCATCGACTATCGAGTTCCTTGTCTAATTCCCCTCCTATTCGACTGCGACGGCAACTTTGGACGCCTCTTTTTTTCTCTTCTTTCTCTCTCGCTCGCTCGACGTTCGCTCGGGCCGAAAGCCAGCTTCGCGCTCGGCGTCGCTCCTCGACTGCGCTATTATACGTGCTCTTACTTATTCGCTGGCCTCTCGGGGCAATTTCGTTTTTATTGCTTCCTTCGCGCCGGCACTGTTCCTCGAAGGTCTGGACTGAAGCCTCGTGCCTACTACCCGTACCCATTGCCATACACTCACACACACGCATGCACTTTTTCCCATTATTTTTACTCCTTTTTCTTTCTCTCTTACAGCGTCTCTTCTCGCAGGCGCAGTTTCTGCACTGACCGAGCTCCGTTTCGACTTGTAGCTTCTCGATTCGAACCGAGTTGGCCGAGCCCTTTTATGTATCCTCGCGCTCGCTGCTCTTCGATCTTGTGTGCACATCGGCGCTACAAGTCTGATGATGGTGATGATGCTGCAAGCCAACGAGCCCGCAAATTAACATCATCTTCGCAAGTATGCGCCAAGTCTGCCTTTCTTTTCGTTCGTGAGAAGTTCTTGCGTCGAGTACTTTTCATGCAGATTTTCGAGAGATTGGAGCGATCTGCGATCGATATCGACGATAGACCTGCATTTTTTCGCTCGATTGCGTCTATACCCCGAACGAAAAGCGACGCGAATACTTCCTCCCGACCACGAGCATCTGTAATGCACCGCCGATCATGAGAATGTCGAAACTTCTTTGAAAGATACTTTGAATTTCTCTGATATGAAATATGAACTCGAGAGGTTTTTTTACGTCTGCCCGCATGGGTCAGTTGCCTGAGCAATTCTTTGTGCGCTTTCGAGTTTCTCAACGTGGCCAAAGTCCGTAAAGTCACGTTCCATGCCAAGAGTTTGCTCGAGTCCGAGGCAACTGATATACGCTGACTGACAATAATTTAGATGACTAGAAATTTTATTGAACCTTTTTGCCCAAACTAGTGCGTTTTTATAAAAATGTTTGCCCTATATTTTGTCTAATCGAATTAATCAAGTTGCGGTACATATTAAACTTGGACTCGTGTTATTCTCCTCTTTTTCAAATTTATTCCTGTATCTAAACAAACAACTTCGAACTATTAAAAGTATCATCATATCGTAAGAGCACCAATATTTTGCAATTTTTTCCTCCAAATATCCCAAGTATTCTTCAAGTCGCAATGATTTAATGATAACTTTCCTACAATTCGTGTAATTCGATCGCTCTAAAGTTGTTTCATTTTATAGCTGACGAATGTCAAATGAATCGGAAAGTTCTTGCAACATTTGCGAATCATAACTTGGAATATTTTAATTAGTATTTTATGTTGTTCTTCATTTAAATATTTTTTCGGGTTATCAACAAGAAGGGTTAAATTCAATTCCACAATATTTTCTTACATTTTTCCGTGAATTTAATAAAAGTTACTATTTCGTTTAAAAATGTAGTTTAATAATTATTTTTCTATTGCTCGTTCTGGACCTTAAAAAATGTTAGCCGAGGGAAAAAAATGAATAGGTGATTGTTAGACTAGTTTAGGGATATATTTATTATACACATTTATACATAAATTTATAAAAGACAATAGGAATTATGTACAAGAACATCAAAATTTAATTTTGACCGACCGGTTGCTTTTAAATATTGTGCAATATCTTCACTTTACATATTCAATAATAAATAGCTCTCAATATTGTCGATTTTTTATTCGTGATATCAGTAACACGGTACATCGAGATCGGTAAAAAACATCCAGTATTAGAAAATTTTTAAGTTTTTTAAATATATTATTTTTCAAATTGGCTGGTCCACGATTCAAGTCGTTCGATAAGCAATAAAAACGAGTATAATAAACTTTAAATAAATATCAAACAGTAAAATTTACAAAGACGTTGTTGTGGTGCGTAAAAATTTTAACGGTGCAAAAGACTTTGATTTCAAAATAAAATTTGTAAATTTCATTATGAAAATAAAATAATATTTCATCTAAAAATATTTGTTTCTTAGAACATTTTTTTCTTGACGGCGGTGTACCTTTCCATATACTGTTCGTAGCCTTCAACGTCAGGAAATAGTTTCATTTCAAATAGATTACCCTCGAGGGCCAGCATCGATATTTTTGAGTCCGTTAGGATTCTTTTAGGAATGCCTTTCAAAGGCAGACAGTTTTCCTCCAGTCTTAGAGTTTTCAGTCTTGGACAGTCAGCTAAATCCTCCGAAACCTCGGCTATTTGATTTTGATTCAAATTCAACTCAGTAACGTGTAGCAAATTAACACCCTTCGGAACATCCGTTAGTCGATTGTGCGATAGATCGAGAACATCCAAATGTTTGAGACCACATAGCATCAATGGGAATTTTCCCAATTGATTGTGTGACAAGTCCACCTACAGGAAATGCATTAGTTGTATAAACAAAACAAAAATGCGATTGATATTTTCAATAACAACGTAAGTCATACCTTCTTCAAATTTGTCAAGTTGGAAAGCGTGGGATATAAATGATTGATTCTGTTTGAGCTAGCATTAAGGGTTTCGAGCTTTTCCAGCATACCAATCGATTCATTAAGATAAGTCAATTTATTCCCACTGACGTCAAAGTGTTTTAACAATTTAAATTTAGCTATTTCTTCTGGTATTTTAGAAAAGCCATTATTTGAAATATCAAGACTTCGCAGTAGCTCGGCTAGTCTAATCAGTTGCGGCGGAAATTCGTTAAGTTTGCAGCCAGATAAATTGATAGTGTTTGTTCTCTCGGCGACTTCGAAGCGGGGTTTTAAATTTGAGTTGCCCATTTTTACTATTCACATGAATTTGGCTCTTTCAAGTACTTATCTTTATCCTCCGATTGTTGTAAAAAAGTGCATTAAATTGCATTAATCGTTCGTCACCATCGATAAAAGCACTGCGTAGTGTAATAAGAATACAAATAAATAATTCCAAATAAATTTTGTCACTGCCAAAATGAAATACCAAAGGCTGTCGGAGTTATCTAGCTATTGAGCCAATGTTATCAGTAACGTGAACGTCAATATACGAGATGAGTTAAATTCTTTGCCTAACCTTAAATTATCACCCTTTTATCCAATGGATGATATTGAACGTTTACACTTCACTAAAACACAATTGACCCGGCTATTCAACGATTTTTGGAAAACGAAATTGGTTGAGAACAATCGGTCTTCCACGTGAAAAAACAGAAAATGATTGAAAAATGATCGTATGGTGGGTACTGCCGACGACAACGATGACGACGAAAACAACAATAACACAACACACCTTGCAGCAGCAAACATCAATCGCTCAGCTGACTCGTTTGTTTTGAGGTTTTATGCGCATCGTGTTCGCGCATGGGCGTCTGCTGAGAACGCTTGAATTTTGATAGGCGCGATTTCAAAAGTATTTTTTTGTTTCTAAGATGATCCTAATGTAATTTTATTAATTACGAACTAAGTAATGAATTAAGAGTTATTATTCGTTACTAAGATACTTTGGTATAAAATAGAATGAAAAATAGAATGAAAAATAAGTTGATAAGAAAAAAGTTAATAAAAGAAAAGTTTAAGGTATAATTTGTCAAAGTAAAAGTTGATCAGGCTGTTGATTCGTCGAGATTTTGTACGTTGAGCAGACAAAACAACCATGTTAGCCAAAGCCCCAAAGGTTGAATTGAAACTATTGAAAGGCGGGTTCGAAGATTGGCAATCTCGTAGTCAGATGTCGCTAGACGCTGGTCTGTTGGGGGAATGTGGATTGTGGTGCATTCTGCAGACAGCTCTTAGTGGTGGCGGCGGCGACGCTCCAACAAAGCACAGTCCAGACGACGGACGCGCGCGCGCGCGCAATGCATGCTGTTTTAGCTGTTCTGACAATTCTCCAAACATTTCTCTCTCTCTCTCTCTCTCACTCTCTCTTTCTCTCGATTTATACATCCCTTTCTGTCTCGCAGCTCTCTCCGTTCTCGGAGATGTTTGCTGTCTGTTGGTGGCAGCAGTGTTGCTATACACAGACTGGCGTCTTCGTATGTGTAGGTTGTGCGTGCGAGGCTCGCGCGGGCGTTCTGCTCTGCTCTCTTTCTCTGGCTGCCTCCCTCCCTCCCTCCCCTTCTCGCTCTCGCTGCGCGAATATCTTGGCCTGCAGAATTCAGTGATCGCGTGTGTGTCTCCCTCGCGGCTCTCGCGTATCGCATCTCTCCTCTCGTGTACGCACGCACACGCAGCCAACGTGCATAGCTTCCAGTGCGTCTTCTCGGCTGCAGGGCTCGCTCGCTCGCTCGCTCCCGCACACGAGCAGAATTTGTTTTTACGCCTCGCAACTCGTAGCTCGCGAGTCGCGAGAGTCAACGCGGCGTCGCCTACACGGATGTCAATATCCATGCGACACGAATTTCGAGCTGATCGAAAGTAAGGGAGAAAGAGGGAATTTGGGTGCGCGAGTGCGATACATGTGCGACTATGTACGAGTCGTCGACGAGTGTCTCGGTGCATGTGTGCGCGACTACGAGCTCGTATATTCCTCCGCCTTTGCAGATTATATTATGCGATGTGCATAATCTGCTGCAGTGCCGATAAGCCGTATTGCGTGCCATGATCTTTGCAGCTCGCCCGTCAGCTGAGCTCCCGCATCGTTACTCGAGCGATAACATTGCAATAACAAGTTTAGCAGTCGAAGCAGCAGCAGCAGCAGCAGTAGTAGCACGTGCTATATATTTGGATGAGATATAGAGCGGAATCAGTGGGTTTGGTGCTTGCAGCGAGAAGGAGCATCTGAGCCAGCAGCTGAGATGCAGGCGAGCGTAGCGGAATCGCTGCTACCCGCACTCGCTGTCAGCCGGCTTGACCACGACCGGCCCTACGACGACTCCTGCTCGCATAATCGCAATGGCCATCGGCGAGACGATAGCTGCATCGGCTCGGTCATCGGCAGCGGCAAAAGCGACACTCCCTACGGAAGCAGCGGCTTGACTTTTGTTATCGTGCCACAGCGGCTCGCCTCGTCTTAGATGTCGATGCGTCGAGTAGCCAGCTACACCATGTCATCGAACAAGTGCAATGGTAAGCGATATAAATATATCAGAGGGACGTTCGCATGCTATGCGTGTAGTGCCGTGCTATTGTTGACTTGTTTTGCCCGCCCCCGCTAGCATACACACAAGTAGAGTACACATTCGTAGTATAGCTCGAGCTTGGTCGCGTGCGAGCGAGTTCGACGACGTTTGTCAGCGTGCATATATTCAGCCGTGCATATCTTGGCATCGGTGGCCCACACCACCATCCGCGGAATGATTCACGCACTCGTTTTATCGAGCCGTGTGTATACGTATACAAGACTTTGTCGGCCGCGCTGACTATGTACCTACCTCCTCACCGAGGGGAGTATCTCTGAGGCTCGCTCAGTGTAGCCTGCTCCTATATGTAAGCATACTTTGTTTACCAGCGCTGGATTTATCATTTTATCATACATCTATACATGTGTGCACGTGTGTGCGTTACTGTCAGCTAGTATGGAAATCGGCGCGCTTTCTATAAGACGAACCCCTTGGCCCGCGGCACACATCGGCGAGACCGTATATTATACACGCTCGCGGTCGATTGTCAAAGAAGCTGCTTTCAGCCGCTCGTGTATCGCTGCTTGTTCTGTAGCTCGACTCACAGACGCGACCCTTCCGTCTCTCTCTCTTTTTCTCTTTCTTCTATTTATTCTCTCTTTCCCTTTCTTCTTATGCTTTTTTCATTACGCGCAAAACAGACCACAGAGGATACCTCGTCCTCGCGCGCCTCGTTCCTTCCCGCGTCTTGGATTGCTGTATGGGTATGTGCATGAGTGTGTGCGTGTGCTCCACATAGCTCTCTTGTCTCGAAAAAAGAGAAATGAACCGACTCGCATCACTGCTAGCTTTGTCTTGGTACGTTTTATATTGTTCTCGTTCGAAACGATAAACGATTATTATTAATTATGCGTGCATGCGACACCAAAAGCCGAAATTATTTTCTTTTTGCGTGGCTGGGCGATGAAATGAGATCGTTGCAGTGTTACATTATAGTGCGAGACGCGAGTATGTAGCTGTAATTCGAATCGAATTTTCGTCGTCTCGCCGGCAGATAAGCCCGACTGGCTATAGTCTCGAATTGTACACACAACGAAGAAATGGATCTTGATTAACTGCTACGGATGACCTCGCTGCCGCTGCTATATGCTGCCATGTATTGTTCCATTATGTCTTTCATCGTAATGTATCATGAAACGTTTAATTCGATACTTTTATCTTGCGACTTGGGGTAGCCATCGCCGTTGCAGTTTTTTTCATCAATTTTAATTCAACTAAATGGTTAAATATCGCGATAACGCCTCTTCTTGCTCTTCGTGCCGGACGCGCATGCAGACAATATTAAACCACTAAACTCCCAAACACTTCGTATCAAATTTTCCTTCGTATATGTTTTGCATAAAGCCATTGCTGTTGCTGCTGCATCCATATTACTTCCTCTTGCTATTTCTCCAAGTTTATAAATTCAAAATCACTGACTAGCGCACAAGTTTGCAAGTTTACTTCTATATCAACTATATCAATTCCCTCCCTTACTAGCAGTTGCATATCTTGATAACATGTTGTGTAGTTTTATTTATAACTTGCTATCCGATAAACATGGCACGGATATAATTAAAAAGTAAATAAAACTAGCTCTGAACAGTTAGAAAAAACGAACGGGCACAATCAACCTTGTGCTCTTCGTGCTTTTCAATTTTTTTTTAAACCTCTTTTTATTTACAGTTCCTTTTATTTTTGAGCTTTACAATATTATAATTCACTCGTAAATAAATTAGCAGTCGTAAATAAAAAAAAGACTGTTGACCATTTCCTTCTATAGAATTTGAAAATACCCGATTGATGCACAGACCATTATGGTTTGTGATGGTTTGTATATTTACTATATTTAATTTTTGAGGAACATGTACTGTGTTGGCCCAATGCAGACTTCCAAAAAAGTCATGTAATTTATTGAGCTTATTATACAATTATATTTGTCAAAGTCCGGATACAACATAGAATAAGTTGATGAAGGAAAATCGATATTTTGTGGCTTGGTCGGGACTCGAATTACGGTGCAAGCTCAGGTAAAATACGCGATACTTCATGCTTTTATTGCCGGTGTTAAATTGACCGAAACTATTGTAAAGAACTAAATGAGAAAAGAAAATTTTTCAAAAGGTGAAGAAAAAGAAAAATTGAAGCTAAAGTGGAAAATGAACTGAAAATGTCAAAGATACGTGTGACTAAATTTTGTTAGAAATTTTTATGTATAAACGCCTAATTAATTACAATTCGTTGCGGGACGCATAATCGAAAAGCCAGGCTAACGAATAGTAAGCAGCAGCAGAAGGAATTATATCCATGTAGTGACGCAATGTGCTATTTTACACCTCTGACCTTTATTCGCATACATTATATATTTCTGACACTGCTTCCTCGGCTGTCCAGTTAAAAGTTTTAATCGAGCTCTTAATTGTTTTCCTCGGTGTATGCATATTATGGCGGAACAATGTGACTTGTACGCGCGACTGCGAGGCGCAACTCCCGCGCGAGCTAGCCGCTGGCGTCTCGTTTATTCACGCGTATACAAATAACACTCGCCCGCGTGCATAGGGTATTTCTGAATATTCTTTGCAAACTTTTCCCAACTGCACCAGCAAGCAGTCCTCTATATCATCGTCGAGCTCGTATGCAGTTTTACTCGACGCGTACGCAAAATAATTGCACTCCAGAGCCATTGCGACGCGCGAGGCTGTGCTACGGATTCTTTTCCCGGACTCGATGCAACGCGATTATTCAAAAGGACACGTCGAGCGCCAACTCGTTCTCTCGTCTAACTTACGGACTTTTTGCCGCATAAACTACTCGCGCTGCATCTATCCGTGCTATATTTGGTCTGAGGGGGCATCCCAGCTTTCTCGCGCATGTAAATAATTCTGCTTGAATATTCTATGAAACTGATGCTCAACATTTAAACTGAGATTAATTCTTTAAATACTTGTTTCTTCATAGTTATTTTAAAGTTTTCGTCAAGCTCAATGATGGTTAAGGATAAACAATTTCCTTTGTTTGGAATTCATACATTCATCTAAAAGGTGTCGTTTTTATTTGGGTTTATTGACTCTAGCTTTTTTACCAAGCTTTTCAGCAAATTTGAAAGAACATAAAAGTCTGACTGCTGCTCGATATTGACACACCATCAATATTGTTTATCTGCCAATTAAATGTTGTATCAACAAACGAGATATTTGCTTACTTTCCCTTGTGTGAAGATTATCCACAGTTCACCTAAAACTGCGACCAATTAAAAAAAACGTCGTTCAATAAAGTTCTTTAAAAGTATAGGTTATACAAATGAAACAACTTTTGAAATGTATCTTTGAAAGAGAGAAAATAAATATTAGTCCTGGAGCCAAAGAGGGGTCGGATCGGCCACGTGAAGAAGATGGATGAAAACATGTTATTCTTGTGTATTTTTTCCCGCTGAATCCGAATATCATAGTTAAAAGTCGCTCAGACTGCCCAAAAATTTGTTATAAACAAATATATTGCAAAATGAAGAAAATTTAAATTTTTCTAAATTTTAAACACATATTTGTGTTCTTTGAGCAATTTTAAGCAAAAAGTGTCTCTTGTAAAATTTTCGTAAAATGATTATTTACCGAGATATTGAGACTCAAAGAGGAAAAAATGCACATTTTTGGCCATTTTCAAATACCCATAACTTTTGAAATAACAACGTTAGATCGATTTTAGACCCGTCATTTGAAAGATAAAAACTTAATCTTTAAGGTGATACTAATTTCAAACATGATTTATCATACTGGACATGTTTTTTTGCACTATAAACATCGGCGTGTCAGAGCGTGGAATCGCGTTACGCGTGCTACTGACATGTGCATTGCCATCAGAACGTGGCAACGCCGATGTTTGTAGTGCAAAAAAACATGTCCAGTATGATAAATCATGTTTGAAATTAGTATCACCTTAAAGATTAAGTTTTTATCTTTCAAATGACGGGTCTAAAATCGATCTAACGTTGTTATTTCAAAAGTTATGGGTATTTGAAAATGGACAAAAATGTGCATTTTTTCCTCTTTGAGTCTCAATATCTCGGTAAATAATCATTTTACGAAAATTTTACAAGAGACACTTTTTGCTTAAAATTGCTCAAAGAACACAAATATGTGTTTAATAGTACTTTATGCAACGGGTACGGATATACTTTTTCAGCGAAACGAGGGGTTGCAGCACGAGCCGAAGGCGAGGGCTGTAACGAGTTTCGTTGGAAAAGCATATCCGTATCAGTTGCATACAATATTTTATGGTACAAAAGCCTAAAAGTAGCGGCGAAGTTGCGATTTTTAGGTTAGCGTGCCATAAAATTTAGAAAAATTTAAATTTTCTTCATTTTGCAATATATTTGTTTATAACAAATTTTTGGGCAGTCTGAGCGACTTTTAACTATGATATTCGGATTCAGCGGGAAAAAATACACAAGAATAACATGTTTTCATCCATCTTCTTCACGTGGCCGATCCGACCCCTCTTTAGCTCCAGGACTATATAGGAAGAAAACGAGCGAGACAGAGGAGGGCTGAGCCAGCGTATCTGATGTAGCTTATTAGGGTTCAAAAGCATCGAACTCGTTGGTCGACTGCAAATGAGGGTAAAAAAAAAAAACTTACTGCTTGCAGTAAAAGCTGATGAGACTTTGTGGTTGAACTTACTCTGTCATCAGTGGTCTACGATATTGCTATTATACAACTCTATGGTTTATTAAAAGTTTTGCTGCTTCAATACATATAATAAATCTTATTTTTCAAAGTCACTAAAGTAACTCGTTTCGAAATCAGATGTAAGGACAAAAATTCTTATAATTAGCGTAAGCTTTACTGCAAAACTCTCAGCATCGTTCATTATCAGTACACTATAATATGTGTCTGATGTATAATCTCAAATGTCGTTTGTTTATAGTTACGTTTTATTTACGAACTTGATAACAATTTTGAAATTATTTTT